CTCTGCCTGGGGTCTGGGACCAGAGCGGCTTCAGCTGGGGGAACTGCTCTGAAGGCCCTGTTCCCAGATGGGTCCCACTCTAGGGTTAGGACTTCAGCCTGTAAACCGGCTGGGCACTTTTCAGCCCTAACAGCCCTTATGCGAGGGGCAGGGGCATGCTTGTTTCAACAGAGGCTGTGGAGCCCAAAGCTGGTGAGTATCTGCCGCTGGGGGGTGTTTACCCAGACTCCGGGTAAACGGGAGGGTGCGAGAAGGGCATTTCAGGGGAAAGAGCAGAGCTCGCCAGCCAGAGTTGTGTCACTGTGTCTGTGCAGTTTCTTAACCCGCAGCGGGGTGCAGTGGTCTCTCTCTGGAAGGGCAGAGCAGATATTTGGGGCGCCCCTGGTTGTGTGGTCACTCCATAGCGACCCACCTCTGCCAGTGCACGGTGGAAGCAGCCACTGGAGAAAGACGCTAAGGGCCCAGCTGATGGCACAGTGGAATGCATGCCCTGCTGTCTTTGCATGGGGAGGTCCTGGGTTCAGCCTCGTGGCCTCCCCGTGTGAGTGCCTGTGATGGGTTGGCTGAGGCTGCCACGACTGGGGCATCACAACATCAGGACCCCCCCGGGATGCCTCTTTCTGTTTCTGTCACTCATGGAAAAAATAAACTTCTAAAAAGACAACCAGAAAAACCTTTTATTTACAAAGGCAGTAGAATTTGCTGTGGGTCCCGACACCAGTGGCCCTTGTCAGAGTGCGCAGGCACCGGGAATTCTGTTACAGTAGGAACGGGCTAGCGCTCCCGGGATGCACCTGAACCCTGTGGCGTGGCGTGGGTGCGTCGAGGCCGGCCTGGCTGCCAGAGGTGGGTTTCGGTGCCTATACCACACCGCAGACGCCCAGGGCTGTGGGCGTCCACACTTTCGTGTGTGTCATTCACAGAGCTTACTGAGAGGGTAGCCCCAGGTAGGTAAGGCGGGCTGTTGGGAGGACCTGGCAGGGAGGGCGCCGAGGTGGGCCTTCTCCCAGAGCCGGGAGGAGAGCATCCTGTTCTGCTTCCCCAGTTTCTGATGATGAAGCTCCCTTTACTACCACCCACCCAAAGACACTCCAGTTTACGGAGGATTTTTTTTGTTGTTTTTTAAGTGGAATAATTATTCCTATTTACTTATGTAAATTTAACCAGAGAGAGAGTGAGAGAGAGAGAAAATGAGAAAGCAAGCTGCCAGGTCTAGGAGTCGAACCGCAGTTCCCATGTGGGAGTCCATTGCCCTTAACCACCACACCACCTGCTGGCCCCTTTTTGTTGTTGTTTTTTCTGGGTTTGTTTTTTTTTTTTGGAGAGATTTTCAATGTAGGGCGTGTGCGCTCGCCAGACAGACAGAGAGAGACAGAGAGACAGAAAGCGAGAAATCACCCCCCAGGGGGGATGGTCACGCCGCAATCCCTTCTCCTCCATTCTCCTCTCGGGATCTTGGGCGTGCACGCACACGCGCCCGGCGTGAATTTTAAGCCACCGGGTCCGGGACGCAAACTGCAGTCGACTACGTGGGAGTCCAGCGACATAGCCATTATGCTCACTGCTGGTTCCCTTGTGGGGTTTTTTTTGAAGTCAGTTTGGCATGAGTTAGTCACAATTTTAGTATATTAAAGGAAAAATCATAATTAAAAAATGACCCACAGATGTGAGGGTTGAGTGAGTGGAGTTCGTGCACTCTAGACCTGAGTTAAAGATGCCGGCTCTTCCCGGAGTCGAGCTAGGAGTTCACTGGCAGCCCGTACCCGCTGCAGTGAGGATCTGAGTGAGTAACAGGTGTTCGCTGTTGAACCGCAGACGGTCTCAAACATCATCCCTTATTTTTAAAGTGGGAACACTGGGCGTTTCTGAAGCTGTGTGGACGTTCACTCGTGGCAATCCGTGGTCTTTAAGCTCTGGAGGTGGGACCGCCGGCTGCGCAGCAGGTGCAGGCCAGTCTGTGTCTGCCGCAGCTCAGGCGCCGGCACTGTCCTTTGCCTTCAGACCGCCACGTGCCTGGTTCCCAGGGTCTGGAAGAGCTGAGAAAGGCTCCCCCGAGAGGGGCCCTGTGGTCACGGCCTTGCAGCCCCCTGCTCTCGCCGTGCAGCAGCCCGCGTGCCCCGCTGCCGCCACCGCTCCCACAAGGCGCTCGGCCGTGCCGCCGTCCGTCGTGCCGCGGTTACCCGAGCGCGAGCAGAGGCCAGCACCACCGGCTTCCGGGACTCAAACAAAGACTGATTTGCCTGACTCAGACCCTCAGTCTCTAATGCAGTCAATAAATCTTTGTTGGTAAATAATTGCTATCGAGCAGAGTTTTAATATAAATTTATGAGTGGTGTTTTATCACAGCTTGGGGCTGCAGCCGGCACTGAGTGATGGGTTTCAGATAGCACTTACATTCATTACATTAACTTTGTAAGTTATTTAACGCTTGTACACTTAACATTGCTTTTGGCTTTCCATGACCTCTTGGGACTAGACAAAGAATACACATGACGAATAAAGAGATTACAGCCACGAGACAGTTCTGCTCTTTGCTGCACTGTAGAAAAGGGTCCTTGAGTGAAAAGTGAAAACTACCTGCCTGGCCTCCTGACTTGCGGTCATAGAGCATTGAAACCAGTATTGTGTTACGCCAGCAAATTAACAAGGTGGTAGCAATTAGATCAACATTTAATAAGATAAAAGGACGATGCAAGGTCACAGTCTTAAACGTCCTGCTATGCAAATAAGTAAAAACTCTGAACCCTTGGAGATTGGGCTGCTGGGTGTCTGAGTCCCAGGGAGATGGCGTGTCAGGCGATGCTCACGGCAGTGTCCTGGTTCCGCGTGTCCTGCAGTCTGTTCTCCATCGAGGAACTGCCCCTAGGCACAGAGGTTTCAGACAGTGCTGTCTTACTCTCCAGGTCCCGGAGGCAGGAGTGTGGGCCAGGCCGTCTGGCCTTAAGATACCCTCCAGGATCATCCCTTCACCACTCTCCTGGTGCCTCAGCAGAAGCAGCTTGGGTGGCTGATGTGGAAAGGCCCGTGGCTATCACGTAGCTGAGAACGCCATTCTCCCCCATGTGTCTCAGGGTCTCCCCAGCAGGGTAGTCTGACTTCTTACAAGGCAGCTCTGGGCTCCAGGAGTTTACAGCAGGAGCTGCCAGCCCTCCCTCAGGTTAGACCCACACTGTACGGCGTGGCATCCACCACTTTCCATTGGCTAAATGGAGTTGGAGTGAGGAGGGGTGGCCAGGAGTCATCTGGTACAGTCACCAGTGAGCATCTGTGGGGACCTTTGGAGACTAGCTTCTGTGGTCTGCCTCCCAGTGTAATGTACCCACCGGCATCCTCGAGCTCAGAGTCTAACCAGCATGGCACCGGGCTCGGTCCGAAGTCCACCATCTCAGTGTTGGTACCAGGCACACACACGGACCGGGCTTCTGGGTGAGCTGCCCTCCACCTGAAGACCAGAGTGCCCGGGAGGTAAGTTCTATATACACACACACACACACACACACCTGGAGATAAATTATGTACACACACACACACACCCCTGGAGATAAATTATGTACACACATACACACATACTCTAGGGTGCTCGGGAGGTAAGTTCTGTACACACACACACCTGGACATAAATTATGTACACACATACACACACACTCTGGGGTGCTCAGGAGATTAAGTCCTGTACACACACACACTCTAGGGTGCTCAGATGAGTTATGTACACACACATACACACACACTCCAGGGTGCTTGGGAGATAAGTTATGTATATACACACACCAGGGTGCTCAGGAGATACATTATGCACACACACACACACACACTCCAGGGTGCTCAGGAGATGAGTTTTGTTCTCTCTCTCTCTCTCTTTGCAGGGTGCTCAAGAGATAAGTTAGCATGTGCACACACGTGCTCACACCCCCCCAAGGTGCTCAGGAGATAAGTTATGTACACACACACACTCACTCCAGGGTGCTCTGGAGGTAAGTTAGCATGTACACACATGTACACAAACATGCTCACACAACGCCCCTTTATGGCGGTGACCCAGGGACAGGAGAACTGCAGCAGAGGCCCCTATTCTGAGAAAGGAAGAGGGAAGGGACTGTAGCCATTACCAGTCCGGAGTGGTTCCGAAACCCAGCCCGCCGTGGGCAGCCCCTTGCTAGGGGTGGAGGCAGAGGGCCTGAGTCCTCCTAGGACCGCACTCTGGCTTCCCTCTTCCCGGAGAGAGAGTGCCCATCTGCTCTGCTGCCTTTCCAGCCGAGGGCCCAGAGACCACTTCCATGTTGAATGTTCTGTGCCTCCTAGTCCACGATACTTGAATTCCTTTAAAAAAAACTTTGCAGGGAACCAGCAGTTAGCGTAATGGCTATGTCGCTGGACTCCCACGTAGTCGGCCGCGGTTCGTGTCCTGGACCCGGTGGCTTAAAACTCACGCCGGGCGCGTGTGCGTGCGTGCCCAAGATCCCGAGAGGAGAATGGAGGAGAAGGGATTGCAGCGTGACCATCCCCCCTGGGGGGTGATTTCTTACTTTCTGTCTCTATGTCTCTCTCTGTCTGGCGAGCGCACGCGCCCTACAGTGAAAATCTCTCAAAAAAAGAAAAACAAAACAAAACAAAAAACTTCGCAGATATCCTTTGTATCAAATCCTAATTCTTTCCCTGAGACCAAAGCCCGTCCACACCTCTCTGATTTCAGGGTCTGTAAGGAGCCTTCCGTGCTGGGAATCTCAGGAAAGGCCCTGGCCGCCACACCTTGCTGGGCCCCTCATTCTGAGATCACACTGCCCAAGACCCCTTGGTTCTCAGGCCGGATCCCACTCTGAGAGTTCTCTTCTGGCAGAAGCAGGGCTGAGACCCAGCAGTTTTGAGTTGGGAAGGTTTTCTCTAATTCTGCTTCATAACTCTGGAACTCCCCTCTTCTCCTTACACTGAGGGGTAAGGGGGTCATCTTTAACAAGTTCCTGGAAAATGCATGTCGTGAAAGAATATGGGTGGACCAGTTCTCTGCACTAAAATAGACATGTACTTTATCTGCACTTTCTAGAGACTCCTGAGGTCCCCTCCGGTGTGGCAGAGCCCGCAGCACTGAGGCTCAGAGCAGGCTCCCAGCCCCGCGCTGCACAGTGCCCAGGGCAGCGGGTCAGCCATGGTCCTGCAGTACATGAGCCCTCTCGAGCGGCAGGTGGTGTTTCCTCACTCTCCCAGCAGCCTCTGCGGATGGTGCTCAGTTCTTGCCAGCCTCGGCCCACTGCCTGGTCCCAAAGCCAGTTTCTGCGATCCTGAATTTTGATGGGATGCAGCAGTGTGGGATGCAGTTTCTGTTTTTATCTTACGTTCTAATTGTCAGAGGATGTGTGCACTCATCAGAGAGACGGCGAGAGGAAGGGAGGAGGAGAAAGTCCTTGGTCAGACGTGGCCACGCCGCACTCCCTTCTCCTCTCGTCATCCTGTTGCGATTCTGGACACCCTGGCACATGCCTGGTCTTCTTTTCAATCTGCAGGGGTTGGGATTCAAACTGTAGTCAGCCATGTGCAATCCGGCTCCTTAACCATTAGGCCACCAACCTGGCCTAGCCGATGCTGCTTTTCTTATCTGCTCTTGCATAAGAAGCCACCCTGAGGGTAGGGACTCCCTGAGGGAGCCGTGAGATCACTGTTGCTCGGATTGTTGACCAAAGCCACCAGACTTTCAAGGTTTAAAGCCAGGGTTGACGGCATCGCTTCCATCGATGCTGTTGGCCAGAGATGGTGAGGGGGCTGAGTGTGGTGAGGTGTGGCTCACTGAGAGCCGTCCTGGGAGAACATTCCAGGCCTTCTGTCACCTCGGGCCAGCACATAACCCAGCTCTGCCTCAGTGTCCTCATTTGCAAACTGAAGGTGTATCATGGTAACTTCCAGCAGGTCCATGAGCCTCAGCGGCCACTAGCGGAAAGACACTGGAGCAGCAGCCAGCCCCAGCTAGCCCGCCATTGCTTTGAAATGTAAAGGCTTTTAAAATGCATGCTCAAGCCCTCTGAGAGTCAAAGCAGGAGCTGTAGTTGCCACCGACACTGGCAGTGGTCAGCCTGGACAGTCTGAAGCAGGCCTGAGAGCAGGATGCAGGGTGCATCGTGACATCCTGTCACGCAGCGTGGCCCTGGGTTTCGTGGGATCGAAGAGACTTAGAGTCATCGGGCCGTTCGCGCTCACAGGGGAGGCGGGTGCAGCCCGCTGTGCCTGGCAGAGGGCCTCGCCGCCTGTCGTTTGGCCGGGAGACCACAGCTTCATGTCCTCTCACAGTTTAAATGAACTCTGTTGAGGGTTTTCTGCTTTCTCGGTGCCTAGGGCAGAGGAGTGTATGAGTCCGGGCCGAGGGAAGCATGGGAAATGCAGGCCGGGGCTCCTCCTGGTGGCGGTGTGGCAGGGTGTCAGAGTAGGTATTGCCGTGCTGGGCAGCTATGTCCTGAGGAGGGTGGGGGTCACCCTGCCCTCCGGTCCCCACGTGGCTGCCTGGTTTGGGGAGGCCAATGGGTGGGGCAACTGGAGCCGTTTACTCTGGAAAGAGCCTGGGACTGGGAAGGGGCTTGGCTGGGTGCCATGTGACGAGGCATCGCGCCAGGGTGTTGTGGGGCTCTACTCCCTCGAGGCCGCTCTGCTCAGCACAGCTGTGGTTGAGAACCAGAACCAGCCACAGCAGGGGCCGCTGGCGCCCACTCTGCCAGGAAGAACCACAGCCGCCCTGTCCTGGTGAGCCCTACCTGAAGCACGCTTGGGGGTCTGCAGAGGCTCCAGAGCCCTGTGCTTCTCACTTGACACAAACACTTGCACAATCAGTGTTTAGGATTAATTTAAGCAAAATCCCAAGGGAGAACTTGTTTCTAAGTCACAGAGCTGCCTCCTGAGTCTCCCTGTCTGTAGTGCGAGCGCAGCTCTGGGTACTAACACTCCTCACGGCGCCTCTGAGGCTGACGACTCATGGGGTGCAGGGAGGACATCATCTCCCCCGAGGAAAAGGCTCCGGAGCGGCCAGAGTCAGCACGCCTCAATCCCTCTTCTCGTCCGGGCTAGCCGTCCACTAAGCGTTACTGTGGCAGCGCCGGGGCGGACGCGTCTGTGGGCACTTGGGCCACAGGCGGGTCCCGTGTTTTCTTCTGATGGATCAAGGCCAGGGGGAGTTGAAATAAGAATCAGTGTTGAAATACCCCCTGGCTGAGTGTCTCTCAGGCGGCCCGTTGCCTTGGGGACCAGAACAACTTTACAGACCAGTCCAAATGGGAGGAAGGCAGGACTGGGTCTGGCTGAAGACTGAATCTTTGCCAAACCTACCGGCCAGGGGTCCCGGATTGGAGAGAGCTGCGTCACCCGCTTTCTTCCAGCTGCCCTCCCTCGGAGGAGGTGTCCCCTTTTCGTTGAGGCCACGTCTCAAAGCTCAGTGTTTCAGGGCTTTGTCCTCCTCCGGCACCTGCAGGCCCAGGAGCGGCTCGCTGTTTGCTCTTAGAGTTCCTGGTCCTGCCGACATTCTTCAGTGCTCGGGATGACGAGCGCTCCTCGTCTGTGATCAGGCGTGAGGGTCCAGGATGCACAGGTGTCACCCTACACCCTCCGCTGAGCGGTCCGGTTCCCAGGTGGAGCAGCCACCGGGGCTGTGCACGTGTAGCCCCTGGGAGATCCCAGCACAGGTCTGCCATGTCCCCAGACCTGTGCCTCTGAGGGACTGGTGAGTTTTGAATCCGTGTGCTCCCGCGTGTTGGGTGCCCGTGATTGGGTGGCTGCACGGAGACGCGTACCTCCCGGCCGTTACCGCGGCTTCCCCTCACTGTCTGCCTGAGGCCGGGCTGGCCTGCTCGCTGGGGTCTCCCGGTGCGTTGCCGCGCGCTTCCGTCCACGTCGGCTTACAGCCCACCGAGACACCGTGTGGCGCCGCCTGGGACGACTTTCTGAGGATCCCGACTGGTCAGACCAAACTCCCTCCTCTGATGCGTTTTAATTGCACTAGAGACTTCTGCATTTTTATTTAATGGGCAAATGTCTTTTTCTTTCACTTTAAAAACTCATTATGTCATTTGCGAACTCTTCCCTGGTCTGTGGGTTTGCTTTCTGTGGCTTCAGCAACTCTCAATCGGCCACAGCCTGAACAGAGGTGAGGACAGGCCAGCATGCTAGTGAGAGAGGACAGAGCCAGGGTGTCACCCTTGTTACCGTACGCTGTCATTTATGCTTGCGTTTATCAGTAGCTGTCACTGTTCCGCTCTAGTTTATAAATGGAAGGTTACGCGGGTATCTCTGTTAGAGATGCAGCGTAGGTAGGGGCGTGTGCTATCTGCAGTTTCAGGAACTCACCGGGGGCCTTGGAATGTACTCCCCGCAGATAGGGGACTCCTGAATATTTGACAGGAGTTGGTTTAATGAGAATTAAGCGTTACGGTATTATAGCACAAATGTGTATTTCCTCAACAAGTGGTTGATGGGGCCAGCAGGTGGCATGGTGGTTAAGGTGCTGGACTCCCATGGAACTGACCACGGTTTGAGCCCTGGACCTGGAGGCTTGAAAAGCACGCCAAATGAGTGTGCCAGTGTGCCCAAAATCTCAATAGAAGGGGTAGTGGCATGCCTATACCAGCCCCCTGGAGGGGTGATTTCTCACTTTTCTCTGTCTCCAGCAAGTGCATGTGCCCAGTGTCAGAAACTTAAAACAAAAAAAGTGGTTGTCTGTGTCAGACCCGTGCCCAAGAGCTCACCCCTGTGATCAGAGGGCCGCTGCCGCAGGGTCCAGTGCAGACCCCCACCTAGGGAGAGTCCCGTGGGGCCCAGTGCAGACCCCC